TAAGATAGTGGTCACCTTCATATGTCACTCTGTGCAGATGTTGAACAACATCTATAATCAATAACAAACTATTAGAACAGAACAGAACTGCACCATTTTTAAAGATGCACGATCTTATCCTCTTTGATAGAATTACTTGAGCCAATATCCTAAAAGCAAAATAACTCCCAGTTTAATAAGTTGCGTGTTTTTTGTGCACATAGGGCCATCTTAATCAATATTTCTGCATACGTAAACCTCCCTTTGCACGATTCAGGGATTTTTCAGGGTCACCTCTCTACTTGCTTCAATGAGATGCATTAAGCAATGTTCAGAATATTCTGCTCTGCTCACAATGTTCTTTTCCATTAAAGAAAGTTTCAATACAAGTAAGTGACTTGCAAATTTTTAAAAAGTTATCTACTACTGCTGCACTTGAGCCAAACTACAATATTTAGTTTCAAGCGTGAGGCTGAATACCATCTATTTTCACAGATATCAGGACTACAGTATCATGTAAATCATATCACCTAATATCACCTTATTTTTTTTCCCATTTTTACAATGAGCTAAGAACACATTTATAGAAGTATTTCTTAAGTTGGTCCTTTACTGTCAAGGGTTTTTATTAGAAACAAAGCATTAAGTGTTGATAATGCTTTGCTGTTGAGTCTTTTATGAACAGCTAAATGAAGTGTGAAATGTGCAGTTCATTGAGCAAGTTAAATTAGCTTCCCATTTCATAAATTGCTTAGGTACCGACAGATGACAGCCTCCAACTTACCGGTACTGTATACTGAGGTAACAAACAAGCACATTAAACATCACTTACATTTCAGATGTTATCATGGGAGGAATCATTTTTGCAGGAAAAAGTTTAAATATGTCTTACTGTGAACTACAAAAGTGAGATGTTCAAGCTGGTTTCTACTTCTCTGTCTGACAGACAGTAGATTAAGGCTGATTTGCTGAAAGCTTCCAGAAAAGTTGTGATGCTGTGTAAAATTTAGATAAAAACATAATGCAATTAAATACAATAACATCTCTCAGTTTTTTTTTTCTTTGTACTATTTTCAATTAAGATTGTTGTCTAAATGAATTGCACCCTGTTTTTACTCAATGGGCTTGTATACTTAATTTATTATGTGCACAGTGCTACTATTTAAATCATTTACTACTGATTTCTTACACTTAATCTCTCAACTAGTCTCTACTGCAGCCTACTTATGTAAGAAAAAAAGCAGCGAATCACGACTGAAGCCCCCTTGCAGAACAAATGTACTACTTCTAATGAGACTTGAGCAGATAATCTCATCCTTGCTGTTTTCTGTTAATCTCTGAGTATCATTGACAAGCACATTTGAGTGAATGTGGCATCATTTACACACTGTCAGTGGTGTATGAAATATCCATCTGGATGTCCAGTCATTTACTCCCAAGCACTCTCCCTACTCATTGCCTTACTTATTACCTTTCCCAATTATTTGATGATTCTTCTTCTATCTTCTCCATATTCCCAACCCCAGGTGTTCATTCTGTTCTGCTGTGATTGCTAGTATCAGCATCATGGCTCTCCTCCCACTGGCCAAGATTCACTTCATCTAATTAGGTCCTCATTTGCTACATAATCTCCACAAACACAGTCTAAAGAAGCCTCTCGATGCTGGACACCAAATGTGTCATTTCCACAGGAAAACATCAAGATTTTAGCATTTTCAAAATTGTGAATTGAAAAGTGTAGCTGCACAGCAGGAATTCTTAGATATAGCCTCAGCCGTCGACCCATTTCTGTTTCCTTCACTTCCTTTACAGGCTTCCCTGGGATTCACAGTACTTTGGCTTAGAGTCTGTTGGTAAAGAACATTACTTCTTTTCAAATAGATTCATATGTTGACCCATGCCAATACAATGATATGTTTTCAAATGGTAAGCTGTGCTTGCTGTAAATCCAGCTTTTTGGCAGTATCCCCAGACCTTAGGGTTCATGGTTGGCTTGTGTACAAGAGCTGAGCCAAAAATGTCATCCCATGCATGATTCTGTATTAACCACTAAATGATGATGGACTAGTTCCTATCTAATTCAGCTGCAGAACACACTTTTTATACTGGAAAAATGAAAAAACACAAGTTTCTGAAAACTACTTCTTATTACATTATTGCACCGTTTCCCATCTAGCTACACTCAGTAACCCATAATGTAAAATGTGGTAATTTGTTTGTTTTTTTAATCAATTTTGTGAAAAACAAAATAATCAAAAACTATGGTTTCAGATTCTATATTCAGAAACCTGTTTTAGTAATTTGTAGAAGCTCCTTTGGCAGAAAGTGCACACCCAAGGTTTCTTTGGTAAGTCTCCATAAACTCTGCACATCTTTGTGGATTTTATCCCATTCTTTCTGATCTTCCCAAACTCATGTCAGATTGGATTAGGAGTCGTGATCATCAGGTCTCTCTAAAGATGTTTCTGTGGAGTTTAGGTCTAGGCTCCCATCAAGGACAACCACAGACTTATTTTGAAAGAAGGAAGAAGAAGGAATGAGTTCATGTAAATGTATATATACACGGCCGAGGCTCTTCTTGGCCATATACATGAACTCATTCTTCCTTCTTCTTCTTCCGGCCGCTTCCTTTAGAGGCCTCCACAGCAGGGATCATACATACATCTCATAGATGTCCTGCACCAGCCTCACATACTTCTCTGCCACTCCTGCCTTCAGGTTGAGTGTCATACCACTTCACCAATGTCAGGTTTTGGCACTGCAGCAGGTTTTTTGGATTTGGCTGCACTTATCCTTTCTTCACTTTTGACTTCTCTCCATGTCCCTGCTGCTTAGAGGCAAGCCCCATAGCATGATGCTACCACCAACATGCTTCACTTAAGTCACATCATTAGCAATTAGCTAGCATTAATTCATGTTTTCAGAATATGTTGGTTTGAGATCTGCCCAAAGAACTCAGCCTTTGACTCATCAGCCTAGAAAATCTTATTCTCTGCATGCCCAGTCACTGAGTTTGATTGGATGAGCTTCATGAAGGGTTTATTTGAATAAGAGTCCTATTTGTTCCAAAGTTTTTCTCAATTCAATTATTGATACTACTATAATTAGCCCAAAACTTATTGGTTACACACATAAATCTATAGTTCATAAATTCTGCCCTGATCTGTTAGGATGCCTGGGTCGTTGACCCAGAGTTTTGAGTTTATTATATTATTTATCATTTCTAGTCTTTGGTTTCTTAGAGTTCTATCTTATGGTTTATGTCTCTGTGTCTGCCCTGGTCCCACGTCTGTTCCCTCTGTTGTAGTGCCTGCCTGTGAGTCTGTGTCTGTAAGTTCAGTCTGTGTTATGTTTCCTGTTTTACTTTGAAAGTCCTTGTCTCATGTAAATGTGTCTGGTTGTGCTTCCTTTGTCTCGTTAGGCCTGATTTGCCCCAGCTGTGTTTCCCTCCTGTTCCCCATTCCCTGATTGCTCCCTCTGTGTATTTAAGCCCTGTGTTTCAGTTTGTCCGTGTCGTGATCTACCCTCATTTATGCTGTGCGTTTTGTCTGTCTGCTTATGTAAGTTTATTTGGATTTTTGTTACGTTTTGCCATCTAGCAATAAAAGCTGAGTTTGAAGTGCACTTTTGCCTGCCGTGAGTCTGCACTTTGGGTCCACTACTCCCGCCTGCACACAGCGACACATGACATGATCTATGCCATAGATGTTATGACTTAAGGTTTTTTTGGCTGTCATGCAGTGTGGACTGTAAGAACATATATGAATAAACAGGTGTGTGTTTCTAAGGTTTGTCCAGTCCATTGGCTTTGTCATGCCAATCAATTTACAGACACATTTGATAAATGTGTCGACTGACTGATGAGACTGATTTTTTAAGATGTCTGGTGAATATAGAAAGCTAAAATTTTATGATTTATGATTTTACAGCTTTAACTACTACATTTTCACTTAAATTGATATGTTAATATTAATAACAGAATTAACTGAAACAATTACTAAACAGGTCTGGGGTATATGAAGTTTTATATCACAAAACAAGTACTCTACTGAATATGGCTGATGTATCAGTAATACATTTTGTGTGCTTAACACAAACTGAAGTACTTTCTGGGCACAGCTACAGTTTTGCCAGATTGTTTGGTATTATTTATTATTAGTATTATTTTTAGGACATAAAATCCTTAGAACTGGGACTTGGTTATAATGCATGAGGCATACCACCGAGCACTAGGCTAGATCTTTGTTTGTATTTTACGCTATATAGTTGTGTTTTTAAGCACAAAAATGTCAGATTCATGAGCAGGATGGATCACAACATAAAGTAAAAGAAAATGATCAGGTGGGGTTGTTAATCTTAATGCTGGGATTAGCATTTTTATTGTTTCTCCTTAGAAATCCTTTGGCCTCCTGTCTGTTTGTTGTCTCCACCACATTGCTAGAGTGCTTATGCTGGCAGAGTAAACATGTTCAGCACTATTACCCACTATTACACATTTTCACACACCTTTTAAAAAACTGTTTATCTCACCACCACCATCCACTCGGTAACAACTTATCATTACACAAAGAGGGAAAAAAAAAAAACCACTTTCATCCAGCAGCCCGAGAGAAACCTTTTTTCTTTTTTACCCATTCATCTCACCTATGCATCTTTCTATCATCCCCCTTTTTTCCTGCCACTCACCCCACAGCCACTCTGTGCTGTGTTTGTGTCTCTTTCTGTTTTTGCTGTCACTGATGGTAGGCTGTCAATCTTGACAGATGTGTTGCCACTAAGGATGCACTAAAAGGTTATATCTGCTGTGCAGAAGAGTGATTGCAAAAGGTCAAGCGTGAATTATGAATGTGCAGGTGCTTTGAGAAGGAGCTTTAATAAAGTTGATATTATATATGTTAAGGTGTTTCTTTATACTACTTTAGCCACGGTACAATAATAAAGGTGCATCCAAAGCTGCTTATAGCAGCACTTTGTTCAATATAATGATTCAGTGGAGAACAAACATTTAAAATGTAACTCACCTTCTTTACTGCTTCATCTTCGGCATCTTTTCTCTCCTGTGCTTAATTCCACACCCCTTGTTGTCTGCGTATGCACATTTCTCCACCTTGAAGTGAATAAAGAGAGTCCGAATGAATTTATAACATATGAAAACACTCCTGTGGTGCTCTGCTGGCTAACGTGCTGGTCCCTGTGCCATGTGCTCATGCTGTGCTGCTGCTCTCTGCTCTTTTTCTAGGTTCACTTCAGACATACAACAAATAATGTAATAAAAAATTAAATTAATGCACAAATCATTCCCCCTTTTTGTAGAACCAATAAGAAAAGTCTAGTCTTCTTTGGACAGAGTGGTTGGCTTAAGACATTAAATGACTGTGTGCATAATCAGCTAAGCCCCGTGTTGTTTGGCTGTAAAATCACAGCACTAACATGCTTGTTTTCAGCCTAAAACTCATCTTTTGGGGAGCTGTGTTTCAGGAAAGAGGGAGGAGATATGCAGAATTCATTTTAAGCCTATTTGTGCTTATTTAATCTAGTGCGTTAAATCCTTGAGGTGTTTTGAGGGAGGGTGAAAACAGTCTTTGTTTCAGGGTAACTACTCTCTAATATTGAAAAGCAGAGTGTGCAGATCACCTATACTCTTTTTCAGCTTCTGAAAAGTTTTAAAGAAATGTTTATGTATGAAAAAACAACAACTGTGAAATGTGTTTTTAGTAAATATTCCTTCCTTGTAATATCCTGTCTAACTAGAGTCACTATGCTTTTGAGGATCAACAAAGCTTTTGCAAATTAGGTTTCTAGAAAGCATCTCTTTTTTGATATTCCATGAAGGTGATGAAGAGGATGTGGCAGGTAGTTCATTGCGAGGGCATGGAACAGATGGTGGTCTGTCTGACGCTCACCGGGTGGGACTTGGTTTGGACAGGCTGGACATACACCCACTCGCACAGACACAGGTCAGGGCGAGGGCACCAACACTCCAGGGGGCTTTAGGTCTGCTTTACATGACAAGGATGTGTGGATACTCCAAACAGGGTGGTAATGAAAAGTTCATTAGAATTTGGTGCAGAAGTGGAATAAATCATATTCTCTTCACTGTGGTTTTTTGTGTTGGTTGATGACCAAGGGATTCGCGAGCTTAAACAAATAAGTGTATATAAGGTCATTTTTGACTTGCCTGAATACAGAAAAGATTATTTCTACCATGCCAGACAGCTAAGTTAAACATGTAAATTAAATAACTTAGCAATATGGTATTGCATGTATATAGCACATGTCATAACACAACACACAAGCACACAATTAAATACAAGTCTGTGAGAATAAAAAAGGTTTTAAGTTTGTTTTTGAATAGACAGTTCTAACTGACCTCAGGTCAGCGGGCAGCTTCTTCCAACAACAACTGAAAGCATCCTCAGCACACTGAGATCTAATTCTAGGAGCAGCTAAAAGATGTGCACTTGATGAGCTGAGAGGTCTGGTTGGTGTACACTGACCAATTCAGAGACCTACTGGCGAGGGCCAAACCACTGGGAGCTTCATGACATAAGAGAAGGGTTTTAATGGTAATTCTGTTTTGAACAAAAGTAAGTTGGAGATAATAATTCTCCAACTTTTGACATGTTTAAATGTTAGAAAGCAGTTCTGGTAATCTTATTTAAATGGCTATTAAAACTGAAACCATTAACCAAAACAATGCCAAGGTTCCTGATATGTAAACTACATGTTAATTACTACCTTAGGAACTTTTTTAAACCAACAACAAATATTTCCATCTCATCTCTGTTGAGTTACAAAAAAGGTTTCTAGACATCCACAAGTTAATGTCATGATTGTTTACGATAGTACCAACAGACCAAGAACTAGCCCTTGATCAACCCCTGATTTAATTTTTATTTCTGCAGATCTAAAACTACTAATGGAAACAAAAAAAACCTTCTGCCCTTCAGGTTTGATAAAAACTAATCAAGAACCTGACCTATAAAACCAGCTGAACAAGCTGTGCTTGTCAAACATTTTAGCTCCAATCATAGACTAATTCTGAGGTCTGGTGCTAAATGAGTGTTTAGAATTAGATGGAATTATCCACACGGAAAATGATTTTGAACACCAAATTCAAACCATGAAGTACTTTATTAAATATTTTTCCATGTAGGACATAAAAACTATATTTTAATGTCTGCTTGTTCACTATGCTCATATATAAAAAAGCAGACTAATTTATCATAATATGCTTTTATCCTCATTACATAAATGCAAGCAGTGAGACATCAAAAACAGCTGATTTCCTTTACAGTAGCATTCCTGTTTGTGGTGCTGTGTCGTTTAAGGGCCCGGAGATCACGGGCATCCAGTATGGGTTTACGCTCTTGACCCTTACGCACAGAGATTGTTCCAGATTCTCTGAATCTTCGGATGATGTTATGCATAGTTGATGATGATAACTGCAAAGTCTTTGCAATTTTTCGCTGGGTAACACCTTTCTGATATTGCTCCACTATCTTTCTGCGCAACATTGTGGGAATTGGTGATCCTCTACCCATCTTGGCTTCTGAGAGACACTGCTACTCTGAGAAGCTCTTTTTATACCCAATCATGTTGCCAATTAACCCAATTAGTGGTAATTGGTCTTCCAGCTCTTTGTTATGCTCAAATTTACCTTTTCCAGCCTCTTATTGCTACTTGTCCCAACTTTTTTGGGATTTGTTGACACCGTGAAATTTTGAATCAACATATTTTTCCTTTCAAATGATACATTTTCTCGGATTGAACTTTTGATCTGTCATCTACATTCTATTCTGAATAAAATATTGACATTTGCCATCTCCACATCATTGTATTCAGTTTTTATTCACAATTTGTTTGGTGTCCCAACTTTTTTGGAATCCGGTTTGTATTAGTGTCAGTCTGTGATGGACACTTATTTACAGATATGCATAACAACAAATCCAGAGACACTGTTCTAAAAATGGTTTAGCGACATTTATTTACCAAGAGCAACGTAGACGTAGACGTAATGTAGACACGTACAATGTCACTGTTCATTTTGAGATGAGCTACTACATGTATATTTAGTTTCTATAAAGATTCTATTTTAAGATTATTGTTTTGGCATTTCTTTGCTGTTGATAGACAGTGAAGCAGTGAAGAGAGACAGGATAGTGTGGAGAAAGACAGGCAGAAGATATGCAGCAATGGCCCCCTGCTCACCCTACTGAGCTAAAGTGGCACCTGATATACATGTTGATAATCCTGGTATCCTGGTAGTTTACGCTATAAATTTCATCCAGATTGATTAACGTATCTACGAGGAGTTAGGGAACAGACATAGATACGCTACAATTTTTATAGTAACACATTTATAATATGAAATGTTTATGAAGGAACTTCTCAACCACACAATAATGTTTTTTGGTACCACTAAAAAAACATTATAGCAAAAACTTAAGTCAAAGATGAGATTTCACATCTTCTGTGCCCTCTCTTCTCTGTCAGAAAAGATGAGAATTTCAATTTCACACTCTGCTGGGGTGCATAACACACACATCACTAAAACACAGGTACACAAACAGACAGATGGGGGGAGGGTTGGCTTGTTAAAAATGGAGCGACATATGTATTCATGAATGAGTAAACAGCCAAGGGATGAACATAAATGAATACATTCGACACAAGAAAAGACCTAAAGACCATATACATGCATTGAAAAGTTACCGGCATAACCTTTGTTACATTTATTATATTATTTAACCTAAATGACGCGTTTGACTTCAACTAAACATCTCCTTTAATCTTTCTGTAAGTAAACTGCAGCTCTCCATTTTACAGTATTCACTACCTGCACTGTGAATAATTTATGTATGCGGGATAAATAGTTAAATAGGCAAAACACGTCTGTCAAAAGTAAAAATGACTACGACCTTGCCTGCAAAAATAGGTGGAAGTTGGAAGAGGGTTGCATAGACGGGGAAGAGAACCGACAGAAAGATAGAAACAAATCAAAAAAAATGAACAAATGAGAGAAAAATTCCTCTCTTATTAAAGAAAAAACCTTCATATGCTGGAGTGTGATACGGAAATAGGCCCTCTGTATTCATGAATCTCTTAAGAGCACAATCAATGGGGTAAGCAATACATAAAAGATGAGGCTGAGTTTGACCTGTGCACTGAGGGGGAGGGGAGAGGGTTCTGCAGAGCCTGGACTGGAGGAGATGGCGATTTAGACTCTGTTGGGGCATCCTTTGAAGTTTTGGCAGATGAGGATGGACTGTGGATCAGCCCATGGCCCTGCTGCATTAACCCCCCAAGCCCCAGCTATGCCTGCACTGAGTCAGCAGCAGCGGCAGGCTCCCTGCCTGGCCAGCATTGTGCATAATCTCTACACTATAGTGTAGCACAGATCCACTACAGAAAGCCATCATTCAAACTTCAGCAGTGATTATCTCTTTGCTTTATTGCATTTTCACAGCAGCATGACTTCTCACCAGTTAGCTACAGATCTGATGTTGATGCTCATTTTGGACAATGATGGAATTTGTGGAGCACAAGCTCATAACATCAACCTGAAATCATTGCGGTATTTCTTATCTGCTAGCACACAGCACACAGAAACACATAAATAAAAGCAAGGACCATTATCATGCTGAAGATCAAGATCGGCACAGATTGAAAGTCACACTTACACGCATGGAAGCACGTAAAAATACACACAAGCAAACTGCTAGTGCACTTGTGCCCGATTGTTTAAAGCATGTGCAGACACTAAATAGAGGTGATTCACGTCAGAAAGAGGATTAGAGGGGGTTGTGAAAAAGCCGAGAATTATTGACAGAAAAGAGGGGGATTTAGATTTAGCTTTGCCAGTCCGCAAGTGCCTCTAACTCCTCCCCTCTCCCCTCCATGTACAACCACTTACACATAAACTAGCGATGACTCAGTAAGATCGTGTCAGGTCACTTTGAACTGACATTGCTCAGGAAACTTATTCCAAGCAGTGGTTTGCTCTGACCCAATCTTTTCTATCAGCGCTTACCCTAACGCTACAAACCCAGTCATGTATGCATGTACAGTAAGCATCTCTCAAAGTCCTGAGGGCCATGCATTACA